GGCCCGTCACTGCCTCGCCCTCTCTAGGCCGAGCCGCACTCACTGCGACGGCCCACTGCCCCGCGAGACGTCGGGGTCGTTCCCGCCCCGTGGCTGCACGAAGGCTGCTCTGCTGCAGACTCAAACTGCACACGGCGCTGCAGGAGAGCAGTGGGGTCTTGTATTAACACAGGACTTTATTCTCTTGGGTATATTTGACATAGTTGTGTGTATACAGCTTTTAAAAGCTTCTTTTCAAAAACCTTTGAGAGGATACTGCAATTCAATAACCGCATGCCCATCAGTGTCCCGCCAGGCTAAGCATGTGTCCCACCCTGGGCCGCTCCTCCTGGGTTAGGACACTGACCAACAGCGTCACGGAGAAGAGCAGCCCTCGGAAGCGCCTCCAACACGGACCAGAAAAGCAGCCCGACTTGGAGTTCCTGCCGCGCTCTCCAGGGAAAACCAGCCGCACAAGGAGGAACAGTCCCAGCACGCTGGGATCCTCCGAGAAGAATTTCTGAAATGCAGAGCGTGTGGGAACAGCGGAGATTCCCACAGCACACGCCCGCCCGTCCCCGGCGGAGGCGCTTAGCTCCCTCGCCAGCTTCTGACAAGGTCTGCAAAGCGCGCGGGGCTGGGAAACGTCCGTGTGTCAGTTAAGTCAGCTGACGCTTCCTTCTGCTGCTGGAGCGCCCCGGCTTCTCGTACTGCGCTGTCCTGGTTGCAGGGGCGCAGCGCCGTGCGCGTTCACCCAGCCTTAAGTGCGGAGTTCCAGAGAATCACGCTGTGCAATTCAGTAGGAACAATTAGCAACCGAGGCCCACGAGGCGGATTTGCGGCCTCGCTGAGAGCAGGCGGCACTCTCCACACTCTACCAATGGCAGCAAAGACGAGCAGACACCTGACCACACGAACAGCGACCGCTGCCCAGCCGCGGGCAAAGCAGGAACTGCCCGGGGCCAGGAGCGGAGGGCAGGCCGGGCTCTGCTGGGTTTAGGTAAAAGGATCAGGCCCGTCACGAAACAAACGCCCCAGAGAACGACAGAAAGACCACTTACGTGGCACGCTACGTCATTTCCCCTGAATACGACTATACTATAAAGTACATGACATTACACACCCACGCCGCTTCCTCACCTTCACGCACCGACACCATTCGCTGGACACTACGCCGGCCTCTCCTGAACGTCTCACCACTGTCTTCTTAAGCGACAAGCTCCATGGCAGCCTTTCGGAGGACAAAACGCTCCGTCCCCTGACTTACTGCTGCCCAGGGAGCAGCCTTCAGTGCAGACCTGGCTTACCTGACCACAGCCAGTTTCAAGAAGACTCTACCTAGACTTCAGATCTCTCAAAATCTTTAGTGTTGTCCTGGAGAGATTGTAGTTAAAGAAAATCCTAATTTATTTGGTAATGTGAAGTCTTTATTTTCATTTTTTTGTGTGTTAATCTTCACCTGAGGGTATTTTTCCATTGCTTTTCAGAGAGAGTGGAAGGGAGGGAGGGCGAGGGAGAGAGAGAAATGTCGGTGTGAGAGAGCCATCACATCGCGGCTCCCTCCCACACACGCCCAAACCAGGGCGGGGGCCGGGACTCTAACCCACGACCCTTTGTGCTTGGCTGACACTCTAACCACTGAGTGACACCAGCCAGGGGGAACAGTCTTTTTTAAAAGAATGACTAACATTTAGTTTCAAGGAAAAAGGGAACTTAGAGATAATTAATAGGACAATCTTTGAAGTAAACAATATTAAGAATTCATGATACTATAACACAAACATATCTTAAATAACAACCCTAATACTGAATCAACATATTTTGTGCCTAATATTTTTTTAAGAAAAATACTTTTAGGAAATAGCAAAAAGCAGAGCCTTGAACTATTTAGGGTTAAGACAGACGTCAGATACGCCTCACAGCTCGTGAGCCAGCCTGGACCACTGTCCACAGACCTGAGGGTGGTGCCCGGCACAGTCACAAGCATCAGGTTTTAAACACCTCAATTAAAAGGTCTGCTTTTTACGTCAGAATCAAATGAAGATACTTTAGGAGCAAAGTTAACTATGTTTAGAAGCAAAACATATCAGACTAACAAGTGCTAGTAGTTTCCGCTTTCCTGAAGAACAGTTAACAGATGGAGAAACAAGGTCTTTTGTTTTCATTTAACCTCATTTGGTTGTGGCTGAAAAGGAAGGAAAACAGGAAACACTTTTTCTAGATACCTGCTCAAGTACCAATCCCCCTCGTGTCTGGTAGGAATAATCACCTTGACAGTCACAAGAAAACAGACTTCTGATAGACAGCAATAGTGTCCCAGTTATAGAATTTAAAGACAGAACAGTGAGAGGTTACAAATTATATCCACAAGACAAACTTTTCTTCCCCCTTTGGTCACTTTGAGAAAGATCTACAACTCAGAAAAACAACACACCAATAATTGATCAATTATAGGTGACTAGATTTCTATTAGACTAAAAAGCTAGAATATATATCACTATTACACTATCTTAAGAATTACTTAAAAGTACTTGCTTCAAAACACATTAAAAAATTGCTGTGGATTTTTAAAAATAAGTAATTCTTAGGCATATAAACAGCCATCTCAGTTAATGAGATTAAACAACAAAAGGTAAAGGTCCACCTTAAATTGATTTTAAAGTGATGAATTAAGAAATATTAGTATTAAATATCATTACATACAGAAAAATAATCTAAAGCCCTGCTATGGACTGAAGTCTCTCTCCGCCCCTCCCCACAGCTCATTTTGGAGCCCTACGCCCAGGGTGAGTGCATTTGGAGACGGGGCCTTTAAGGAGGTAATTAAGATTCAATGAGGTCATACGGTGGGGCCCTAATCCAACAGGGCTTGTGTTCTTATAAAAAGAGGAAGACACAAGCGGAGTCTGTGTGAGCCCGAGAAAGGCTGTGTGAGGACACGGCGGGGGGGCAGGCCTCCGCAGGCTGGAAGGTTCTCACCACAAACCTCCGGTCATGAGACACCTGGACCTCAGACTCCCGGGCTCCAGGGCTGAGAAAACCCTGCTGGTCAAGCCACCTAGTCTGAGGTGACTATGCAGGGCCTAAAACTTGGATTAAAATTATGATTCTGAGTAAACATGACACAGTGAATAAATCTCTTTGCATATAAACATTTGTTTTACCCAACTGACAAAAATATGCCAATATTTACATAGGAGCACACACACAGTTAACCCTTGGACAACAGGGGTTGGGGTGCCAGCTCCCCCCACAGTCAAAATTCCCGTGTAACTTCTGACCCCATGACAGCTCCAGGCATCCCTTGGTGTTACAAGGAGCTGGCTCCAGGACACCTAAAGATACCAAAATCCTTGAGGCTCACGTCCCTTATTTAAATGACACAGAACAACGAATGCAGTCGGCCTCCAATCGCTTTCTATGAGCATCATGTCACTGAACCTCCCTCCACTCAAGGCAAAAAACATGTTCATTCATTCCAATTGTTGTAAAACATAAATATCTTCTCTAGGAACAAAAATTGGAAAGGTCCTTATCTTTAAAAATGTTTTTTTCAAAAGCAGGCAAACATTGACTCACCTTCTCGAGCAGCAAAGGTCTGGCTGGCTGAGATGACTTTGGTCAGCTCGGGATTATACCGCGTCCCCTCCGGGAAAATCACAAGGTACATCTGTGAAGCATGAAGAGAGTGCGGGTCGTGGGGTATGTATGAGCTTTGCTGTTCACTTACCAACGTCAACCCTACTAATGCAAAGGGAGGGATTCCCGGTGGGAAAATGTGCATTCGTTTACATCCAACCTCCATCCAAGCAGAACCACCCGAAGGCAGATGTCAATAAGTCCAACTTAACACAGACCACACTTCAGACGCGCCTACGTTCACTGGCAGGCCGGTCATTAGGGGCCTAGCATTTCTTACCACCTGTTAATAGTCACTACATGGAAATTTGGCCAAGAAATGCTGACTCATAGGAAGCCTCCATTAATTAATAAAAGAGCTCCCCCCACCAAGTTCTGCAAAGTGACTTTTAAAAAGGGGCACATTTTAGACCCTTGCAGATGAAGCAGACCCAGGCTGACGGGCGCTGAGTGACCCCGTCCAGGCGCATACACCTACCTGCTCGGGAAGTCAGGCCAGAAATAGTGCAACTGCACTGCGAAAAATTCCTAACTTTAGAACCGAGTCGCAAACTACACCAACATGTTCCACAGCCGCAGACGAAGCAGGCCCTCCACTGACTCTCACACGCCGCGCAATTCACCCTAACGATGGAGCCTCCCTGTGGGCTGCACCGTGAACTCCCAGAAGAAAAGAGAAAGTCTCACAGCCTTGAGCTTGGCACATAATTAAAAAATAGGACGCAGAAACAGAAATTATGAGAGAAAAATCAGTGAATTAGAGAGAATAAAAACGGTTCTTCAGGACACCCACACGGAGAGGACAGGGCGTCACAGGTGCAGCTTAAGCGACACGTTCAGTCGCCCCGAACGGACCAGCGGCAGTACGTCCACAGGGTGACACGCTACTTGGGAGTGAAAAGAAACAAAAACACTGATCCACACAATCATGTGGACGAATCTCATGCTCAGTGGAAGAGCCGGACCCACTCCCCCGAAACGAGCACAAGCTGTGGGATCCCACTGTCTAACCGACAGCCACAGGCAGCAGGCCGGTGATCGCCTTGGGACGGACAGGCAGGGAGACAGACGCTCAGACTTCCCAGGTGACGGCCAAGCTCATGGCCTGGCCTGCGCAGGTGGTCCCCCGGTGTGCGCATACAGCGAGCCCGGCGGCCCTGCACCGCCCCCCTGCGGCCGGCCGTGACCTGGCACACTCACCCGCAGCACGTCCACAAAGAAAACACTCCCAATGCCACCTTGTCACAAAGGACAGGGTGTCCTTCTCTCGAGGCTGAAAATATCCCCCTCTGCATGGACACGCACCGTATTTCCTTTCTCCGCTTGCCTACTGATGGACTCAGGTCGCACCCGTGTCCTAGCTGCTGTGACTATTGCTGCCACCGACACAGGGGTGCAGACGTCCCCTCAGGACAGCAGGTACCTACATATGTATCTTGGACACACACTCAGAAGCAGACTTGCTGGATCACAGGGCAGCTCTAGTTCTACTCCTCTGCGGTCCCTCCACTGTTTCCACAGTGACTACGCCGATGTGTATTCCCACCAACCGTACCTAAGGGCTCCCTTTTCTCCATACCCCCACCGACATTTGCTATGTTTTGACTTTCGGACAATGGCCTTTCTACCAGGTATGAGGTGACCTCTGCTGTGGTGACTGCATTCCCCTGGTGACGAGTGATGTACAGAAGAGCACCTTTCATGTGCCTGCGGGCCCCTCGTATGGCTTCTTTGGAGAATGTTTATTCAAGTCCTCTGCTCATTTCTGGGTGATTTGTTTTCTTGCTAATCAGCTGCATGAGTCTCCCATATATTTTGGAAATTAACACCTTACAGGATATGTCGTTTGCAAATATTTTCTCTTTCCATAGGCGGCTTTTACATCTGGTTTTTGTAAATCCAAAATTATTACAAGCTTTTAAATTTATTAACAAATATAGGAGGCGGCTTTCACTTAGGATATAGAATGATAAAAGAATATTGCTCCCAGCCGCAGAACACCAGCAAAACACTGCACTATCTGCAAACCGAACCGTTCAGAGAGCTGAGGTTACAAGGCAACCTTAACGTAAAACAACTAGAGAATGTTTGTAAATAAAAACTTGACTGTCAGGGCACTTGGTCAGTTGACTGTGGAGAATTCGTCCTCAAACATGAGCTCTGGCTGCCACCCAGGAGCCCTGGAGAGGGAAGGGAGACAGGAGAGAGGGAAGTGGAGAGGGGGTGGGAGGGAGGAGG